AAAAGGGTTTCTGATGACTGCCTTTTTTATTCATAGTAACTTTTTCTGTGACTAAATTAAGCATTTCTGAGTGGTTTGTGTGTTTCTGTTACTGCGACAAGGGAACTAAAGCCACAAAAGCCCCAGAGGGAATTAGGTTAAAACGTGGATCTCCAAGTTTCCTTTTTGTTCTAACTTTTAATTATACTGTGGTTCGGAATTGTGTGATAACTGAGTATAAACCTATATACTCTGATGCTTCTTTCCATACTGCAATTCTTGACAATATATTTATTTTTTTCTTCTTGGTAGGATTTTTGGTTCCAGTAAGATTTTGGAATAATGCAAACACTAAAACCAAAGCAAAACAAAACACCCTGAAACTCCTTGCACTGAGACTCAGCGTCCGCCAGCTTTTCAGACATAAAATATAAATGGGCCTACGCTCTATCTCCCTCATGTGTGACGATTGTTCCCGGCTATCCCTCAGACCCGGGGTCCTGATGGGTCAGTGCAGGTGGCTCTACCCCAGCGAGGTGCCGGACCGCTGCCGGTGGGGTGCCTGGGAGTACGGGAGGGTCTGCCTACAGGTTCTCTCACTGCCAGCAGGAGCAGCTCCTGCTGGGAAGGGCCCTGGGTGGTTCCCACTGTGCGGCCAGCCTTGCTGCTGACAGAGTGACTTGAGACAAATCACCGAGTCTTACTTTCTAAATCCTTATTTTTGAGTCTAGGAACTTGTTCCGGCCTGGTTCTCCCACACACTCCCTTCCCCTCCCTCAGGGCCACCTCACTGTGCCCATGCTTATTCCTTGGCTGTCCTGTGATGCAGCCACCTGAGGATGAGGCAGACCCTGAAGTAGGCTGCGACCTTGCCCCGGAGCCGTCCCCGCTGAGGCTGGTGACAGTAGCCCTGCACACACCAAGGGCATGGACACAGCCAGTCCAGAGGTCCCCACCTGGCTGGTGCCTGGGGATGAGTCAATGGACAAGGCCTGCTGGAATCACAGGCGGTGTCCACCAGGGCTATCGAGAGAGTTTCGAGGCTTACGAAGCACTTTGCAAACAGATGCTCCTGTCCACCTGTGACCTGTTCATGGCGTGCTCGTTTACACCCATCTCTGGTTTACAGCCCTAAGTTTCAGGGAGCACCGTGGAGGAGTGTCTGGGCCGGGGCCCGGGGGCCAGGGGCCAGCATCAGGCTCGTGGTGCCTGCCTGGTGCCTGCTCTCCACGTGTCCTTGACTGGCAGTGATCACACACAGTGCTTGTTGGGAGAACTTGTGCTACCGGCTGCCGAGGGCAGATGACCAGGCTACCATCAGCAGCCAGTGGTGTTATGCCTTGATGAGGAGAGACCTGCGGGTGGGAACCCCGGGGAAAGGGCCCGGGACAATTTCTTAAAGTGCTCTTTAATTTTTAAAGTTCAAATTCATTTTTTTCCCAATTAAGAATTCTGGAAATATTTATTACAAAAATGATAATTTTACTTGTCAAATAACTGAGTGTTTTGCAGGCGTGGCTGGCATCCACGGGCAGCTCTCCAGGGTTGGGGGTTTTGTCTGCACAGACATTACTTATACGTTACAGATGGGTTTACGGCGTATCTTGAATTCAAGCACTAATTGGAGAGTTAAGAGTAACTGAACATAAGCTTAACTTAACTTCAGCTTCATGTCAGGCTCAGCTGAGAAGTGGAGAGAAAGCAGAAGAGGTGAGCAGGTGCCCGAGTGTGCTTGTGAATCCGGCACGTGTCAGGGCACACCACGCTAACACGCAGACTGTGCTGTGTGTCTGTCATGTTGCCAGCACTGCTGAAGGACAGTTTGCTTCTCAGCCCCCTCGAGGGCTTGTGAGACTCCAGTGCTGGGGCCCACCCCCAAGTTTCTGATTCTGTAGATGGGGGGGGCTGAATTTGCCTTCCTGACAAGTGCCCAGGTGGTGCTGCCGCTGTGGCTGCCCCAGCCCCAGGACCCGTGAGGACATGCTGAGGACCACCTGTCCCTGGGGGCACAGCCCTCCTGTGTTCAGGCATCAGAGCACAGCAGCCCTGCAGGTGGCCACGTGAACTTGGGGCTCACATCTGAAATGACCACGGGCGTCTTCTCTCTTCTCTTTGGGGTCTGATCCCCTGTCTCTGGGTTGGAGCCACCCAGACCTTGACTTCCTGCTCCTTCCCTTGCTCAGAGGATGGTGGTCTCTGAGGCGGCTCTGGAGTTCCCAGAAGTGATGTGCAGCACACGGCCTGTGCTGGGGTCACAGGTGCACAGTGAAATGAGCTGAGTCAGTAAAACACCTCAGGTCTTTACAAAGGGCTGAATGGAGAGGTCTTTGTACTAATTAAAACAAATTATGGTTTTAAGAAACATAGATGTATATTTTAAGTCAGCTGACCTCAAACACACTCTGGTTTGGTGACGTTTTTCCTGTGGTATCAGACAAACATTAAAGAATCACACACAGAGACGTCTGCTGTGCGGATACTGAGTACGTACACATCTGTCCTCTGGGCTTCAGATTAGATGTCTGGTGTTTGCTTCCAAGCCCACTTCCTTCTCTGTAGTTCAATGTGTTAAGTCAATGCATGGAGGTTTTCATTTCAGCTATTGTGTTGTTCAGTTCTGGAATTTCGATTAGTTTTTTTTTTTAAATCATGTCATTTTTCTCTGCTCGACTTCCCCCATTGTTGAAGAGGGGACACTCTGTTTGACCTTCTTAGCAGGAGTCCTTCTCAGGCTGTCTGGCAAGGACACGGACTGGCTGTTCTCTTTGTGGACGGCCTGTGAAGTGACCTTTTAGCTTAGGACAGCACCAGCCAACAGAAGTATGATGGGCCCCACATATGCAGCTTAAAATTTTCCAGTAGTTTCACAAAGAAAACTAGAAACAGATTAATTGTAATACCACTGTATTTAACTCTGTGCCAGACATTCATTCTGCAGCTTGTGATCAGTGTGACCCTTCATTAATAGAATCTTTAAATTCTGTTCCTTCATTAAGAAGCCTTTGAGATCCGCTGTGCTCAGCTCCCTTCTGGCTGCGGGTCTGGTGCTCAGCTGTGCCGAGAGGGGTCTGTAATGGATTTGTTCTGGAACGTTCTGTGCAGCCCACTGGGGTTTAAGTTCTCTGTCACCAAGTCCCCATCTGTCTGGTTTCTAGCTTCCAGAGTGCCGTTGCCATGGTCCTCCTATGTGGCCTGTGCATGGGCCAAAGGGCCCCCACTGTCCTGCACTATGGAGGCCAAGTTGCTTCTTGCTTCTTCTTCCGGCTTCTACTGTGAGCTGTGGCTCCTCTGCTGAGCCAGGGGGACCCTTTCCTGCCTGTTCAAAGGCTGCAAGAGCCCAGCCCCATGTTTGCTGTGTCTGCAGTGAGGTGTCTTTCCAGGCATTTGTAATTCATACTGAAGTCTTAGCTAGTTGGATTCTTTCCTCATAAATAATTGGTCCAAATCTTACAAGCGGACTGATTAGTCTGTGAAAATCTGTATCTCCAGATGACCTTCCTTCCGGTGTCCCTCTCTCCACCAGGGTGTTTCTGTCAGCCGCTCCCTCAGGGAAGTAAGTTAATATCTCCTTTACTTAACAGCGGACACATTGGTGCAGGAGCAGGGATTGTGGGGTGAGGGGCCACCCTTCCTCTTCCCTGCGGGGACTTGCCTAAGGAGGGGACTGTGTCCACTTCTGACTGGGGCTGGGCACAGTCGGCAGCAGTGACTCCCAGACTTTGAGAAGCTTCTTGCTGAACCACAAGCTAGAACCAATTCTGTAAATCACAGGCAATGAGTAAATTGGTTCAGAATAATCAGTTTCCTTAAACGATTATGATTTCAGAGTTCAGTAAGTGTCACAGGACACCCAGTGACCTTATTTTAACTTGATGTCTTCTGTGAAGAAGGCCTGATCTCCAAGTAGGTCACATCCTGCCGCCCTGAAGTGGGGACGGTAGCTGTGAATTTGGGGGAGAGAGTTCAGTCCCGAAGGTCTGGATCTGTGAGTGATGAAGCTGTACTCTAAGATTACTTGGTAAAGAAAATGGGCTTTCTATTTAATTTCAAGTTTTTCACATTCATTACATTTTTAGTTTTTAATTCTGAATGGATGTGGTCTTCTAAGGAGGGTATTCCTCTGCCAGTCTTCTCTTCCCATCTTGCCTGGGACCTGTGCCCCCAGGGACATCCTCACCTCTCAGGGCCTCCCCCAGGTCTTCTCCCCCTCCCCCTTGGGCCGTGGGTAATATGCTCCCCCTCCCCCAGGACCTGTCCCCAGAGGGCCCCTCCCCCAGGGCCTCTCCCTACACCCCAGGGCCGCCCCCTGCCCCTCCCCCTTCACAGCCCCCACTCCCCAGCATCAGCTCCAGGGGGCTGAAAACTGAAGCTGCCTTCTGCGGCTCCAATAGGCCCAGCGCTCTCCATCTCTTCTGGGCTGTCCGGACACCTACATGTTTCAGCAGGGTGCGTTTAACTTTGTTTGGAATAACCTGTTTGGAACCCTTTAGTTAAAACCTGCATAGGTGTCCTCTGTGTGGTTTGGGGCATTGTCTGCCTGTCACTGAGGTGACGTCTGGTTGTCACCAATGAACCGCAAGCATTGGAGTTCACACTCAGTCTCCCTTGGACGCGCCGTGCTGGGACTCTGGACACATGCAAATTTAGGCTGTGCCCACTGACGGGACTCAGTACGTGGGCCAAAGTGGGTGTGCAAGGAGTGACCCTAGGGTTATCCCCACAGCGACTGTGTAGGTGCATTTGGGCCAAAGTGGGTGTGCAGGGAGCAACCCTAGGTTTATCCCCACAGCGACTGCGTAGGTGCATTTCTGTGACACGGTGCCCTCGTTTTGTCATTCTGATCGATAGCCATATAGTTACCAGCCTCAGAAGACAGGATTCACCCAAGGAGTGAACTGAGTGATACGACTTTTTAAATTCTTGATTGTGATTTTGAAACTGACTGTTGAGGAGTAACAGCAAAGGCCTGGTGATTTGTAGGCACTTTTTGGCCTGTTAACGCTTTTCTCCTCTCTCCACAGGGATCTTCGCTTTAACAGAATTAGAGAGATCCAGCCAGGAGCCTTCAGGCGGCTGAGAAATTTGAACACACTGTAAGTTGATTCTTGGGGTGTGGGTGATGTGCTCAGAGCAGTCAGAGGGTGCGAGGGGGTGTGAGGTGGAGGGTGAGGGAGGAATGTGTGTGAGGACTGCGGGCTGTGCCCCCTTCTGCCAGCCAGGCTGGCCCCTCATCTCCTCGTGGGTAACTCACACAGCGTCACCCTGCCCTCAACTCAGGGGCTCCTGAGCCCTGTCACTTCTCCCACTGTGAGGCTGGGCACACGGTGCCTCTTCCGAGCTCAGGGTGGACTCGGCCAGGGCTGCAGGCTTTGGGGGCCGGCCCGGAGGCTTAGAGCCCGAGGGGTGGGCATGCGGGGGTAGGATGGAAGTCCCAGGCGCTGCCATAGACCCCAGGCTGTTTTCCTAGTGCCTGTGGTGGGAGCTGTCTTCTGCAGCCTGACTGGATGTTTGGCCTGATGTGTGGCTGATGAGCCACCTGTTAGCCATGTGACCTGGAGGGCAGGTGACCACCTGCTTTGTACTCCAGGTCTTTGTCTGGGCCTAGGATGATATGGTAGCCTCAGGACTGTCCTGCTCCCGAGGTTGCCTCGACATGGGCCCAGTTCCTGGCTGAGGCAGACAGGCTGAGAGCAGTAGGATGAAGCCACAGATCTTCCTTTTCACAGGAGGGAAAGAATGTTTTCTCTGTTTTATAGAAAGGTGAAAACACGTGGAATGATATGGACACTCCTTATTTGAGCAAACTTGCAATCATGATGGTTAAACACTAAAATTGTTATTGTGTGAATTTAGCACTTAAAGACTGTTGATAGTAAATTCTGTAGCTTCATCACTTTATGACCTTTTTCAAGGCTGTAGGAACATTTTCCCGTAATGCTTTTGAAGTGTGCTTGAAATTTTACTGATTCTCTTCCTGGTACAGGCTTCTCAACAATAATCAGATCAAGAGGATACCCAGTGGAGCATTCGAAGACTTGGAGAACTTAAAATATCTGTAAGTTAACGATCAGTTCTTTAACCCAAGAGCTTATGTTGCTTATATTTAGATTATTTAAATATAGAACAAAATGCTATACCACTTTGTCGATTATTATAAGTGTATCCATCTAAAGAGGGTTTATGTTCAGAAGGTGAGTAAAAGTTTGGGTGAAATTTCTTTAAATGGGTTGTCATTATAAAGTGCTACATTATATGATTTTTACTAAGCCTTAAGTAAAATAGGTTGAATAAAATTAAAATGCAAGGCCTCTGAGAATGATCCTGGGAGTGATACTGGTGCTGCAATGCCTGGATGGCCCCACAGTCTGACTTCAGTGTGGACAGTTGACCCATGTGCGCAGAACACTCTGTCCCAAGTTTCTTTTCCAGCCCTGGTGAAATGTAAAATGTAAATTACTAATCCCTTTGGAATGTCACTGATTCTGGTAAATTTTCTTGTCTTCCTCCACTCTATTTTACTGGGGTTTTGTAGTTAAATTTTATTTTCAAACCTTCATTTATTAACACTTAAAACTTTTGCTTATTGAAGTCAGTTTTTCGGGTTAGAAAACGAGCTCCCTGAGATTTGCTGGTTTACCATCCTTCATGGCACTTATTATAAAATTGAAAAAGATTAAGAAGAACGCTCGGATGTGTCCCTGCTTCTCTAGATGAGTGTGTCCTGTGCTTTTGGCCAATTATTCTTACTTTTAGGACATATATAACTTTCCAAAGAAAGCCATTTTTAATAAAGGACTTATATCAGTCATTATTATCAAAGGTTTCTGCCATAACACCTAAACAGCTTTAAGGTATGTCAATTTTTTTAAAGAGTCTTCTTGCTAGCGTGGGTGCATATTCTGAAATCCGTTGATTTCAGCTGTGGCACTGGTTCTTAATTATGGAACTTTCTCTATGAAGTTATTTGAAAGTGTTATAGGAGCATTCCCCCCTCCCTTTTTTTGGGCATACATGCTATATTAATTTGAAATTCTGTATGAATATTACTAAGCCTGTCTCTCATTTTAAAAATGAGAGAAAGGGCTTCTATTTATTCTTTGAGTTTTTGTTTGTTTTCCTTACCCCTTTATTTATTGTTTTGGTATTTTAAGTACAGTGGAAGTTCCAGAAGAAAGCTTTTTGTTTCCTGGAAAGTGGACTGAGTTGGCTGTCGGCCGGCGTTTGGGGGGTGTGTGCACAGGTGTGTGTTGAGCTCCTCCTCTGGTTTGAATTCCTTAAGAAGGCCTCACTGTGCGCTCTGCAGTGTCCACCTTCAGTAGTTCGGCATCCTCTGTTTTTCACTGAGACGTCTTCTCTTTCCAATCTGTCTCACCACAACCTTTCTCCCCACTTCTGTCATTGTACATAACACGATGTCCGTGGTGCCCCAGCAGGGGACAGCACAGGACCCGAGGGGGGCACTCAGCAGCCTGGTGGTGCAGGGGGAGGTGGGTGCTGACTCAGAGTCTGGCTAAAGCTGGGAGTGGGGGCTGTGCAGACAGAGGCCTGGGAGACCCCTCAATCCAGCTGTTGGCTGTCCCCAGCTTCCTCCTCCAGATTCCTCAGAGGTCATTGGTAGAGAACATCAGGACACATGCGGATTTAGGAAACTCTGTGATAAAGCAATTGAAATGCTTAGGAATTCTCCTGGTTTTTTGGTTCAGCCTTGTATGTTTAGTTAGTACGAAAGTTCATTTTTAAAAGTTGAGTACTTATTTCCTGGAACTCTAATTACTTGATCCATAGTTCCCTAATGATGAAATCAATTATTAAGATAGAATTGATAATCAAAGGGTAAACTCAATGATGTTATAGAAAATTACAATTCTACCCAGAGGACGATTAATACCCAGTTATTCTTATAAAAAACAATGTTCCAATGTCTTTATAAACGTAAGTGTATACATATTAATTGGATTCAGTTGTTTTGTGTATTCCTAACTTCTCGTGATTTTTTTTTTAAGTGAGTGCAAAGTGATATTTGCTTTGATATGTTGGTTCTGATTTATTTGTAAGAAATGAGCGCAAAAACCTGCCTTCTCAGAGGTCACAGTAACCGTTCTCACCCGAGCAGTAGTTAGGAAGGACTGGGCTGTGTCCTAAGAGCTTTGTACAATTTTATGAAAGAAGAAACTGAGGCACGGAGGGGTTGATACCGTACTCTAGGTCACATAGGCAGGAAGCAAACCCATGCATTTGGGGGAGTAACTACCTTGCTAGGCCTCTGCCCGGGGCACTGGGCTGTGGATTGCGGGGCCGTGGCTGGTCAGAGTTAGGGCTTACAGGCACATACTTCGCCCTCGTGAGGGCCCCTCCTCAGATCCATGTGGAGGGATGAGGTCAGGTCCACTCAGATGGATTCTGACAATTGAGGATAGCAGAGCAGGCGCTGTTAAACTGTGCCCTGCACCCAACATTAATACAGTAAGACACTTTGCCCTTACAGAATATTACAGGTGTTAAGACAGAACATGGTGCTTATGTAGTGGAATAGGTAGGTAAAACCCAGCCACCCAGTAATCAGTTTGAGGAGAAGTTTGGGCCTGAAGTCAAAATGTGGGAAAGTGTGGCTTTGGACTTAACCATGTACCTACACCAGAGATGGAGCCATGGCAGGTGTCTCTGCACCCGAGTGCAGACACCACTTGTAATTCACATGTTCTTGGGGGTCACCAGAGATTGGCTGCCATAATCCTGTGTTTGGAAGAGACTTGGCTGGACACAGGGCATGTCCAGGTTGGACGGACCCAACATACAGGACTATGTGGCTTTTTCTGGAATAGTGGTATTTTTGTGTGGAAGTCTGCAAGTTTTTCTGTAGAGTACCAGGCAGGGCAAATCTGAAGTTCTGCAGCTGTGGGGTCTTTGTTGTGACAACTCAGTTCTGACACGCAGCAACAGACGGTGCCTAATGTGTGAGTGTGGCCGCAGTGCAGCAGAACTTTATTTGTGGATGCTGAAATTTCAGGTCCATATACTTATGTCTCACAAAATAGGATTCCTCTTTTGAAAGTTACAGCCACTTTAAACTGTAAAAACCTTTCTTAGCTTGTAGACCACCCCAAAACAGGTGTTGGGCCAATTATGTGACTCTTGTATCCTGTGCTACTGCTGTTTATAAGGAGAGGACTCTGGGAGGTAATTCAGGACATGCTCGGTGGTCACATTGTCGGCTCCCAAGTTGTGTCTGAATATTTCAGAACTGTTTAGCAGTTATAGAGTCTTATAATCAATGCATTTTCCACGTTTGTGGGGAAAATGGTTTTATTCTCTTCAGGCTTTTGAAGCAACGTGTTGTCAAATATTTTTAGCTATAGTCCACAAACCTGTGAATTATCTGACAACATGCAGTGACGGTCTGAACACCTCTGGCGTGGACCTACTGCTTTTGGTTCACCGGAGATTAAGGGAAAGGAACTCATCAGGAGGGGACTGTACTTGCTGTGTAAATGTTTTTTTTTTTTTGAGACGGAGTCAAGCTGTCCCCTTGGGTAGAGTGCCATGGCATCACAGCTCACAGCAACCTCCAACTCCTGGACTCAAGCAAGTCTCCTGCCTCAGCCTCCCAAGTAGCTGGGACTACAGGCGCCTGCCACAACGCCTGGCCATTTTTTGGTTGCAGCCATCATTGTTGTTTGGCAGGCCCGGGCTGGGGATTCGAACCCGCCACCTTAGGTGTATGTGGCTGGTGCCTTAGCCGCTTGAGCCACAGGCACCGAGCCTGTGTAAATGTTTTGTTTGCACTCTAATATGGTCATTAGGTGAAAAACCGTGTCTGCGTGTGAGTTTAATTCTTCTGTTCCGTCTGGAGTTGTGCCCTCGTGTCTGTGTGCTAACACTCCCATGTTTCTTGTTTCAGCTATTTGTACAAGAATGAGATCCAGTCAATTGACAGGGAGGCATTTAAGGGACTTGCCTCTCTAGAGCAACTGTAAGTGCCCCTCTCTTCTGTGCTTCCGTTTCTCCATCCCACCCGCCTTTCTGCCTCTTGCAGGGAAGAGTGGACTGAGTCTGCTGTCCGCATGATGCATGTCCATGCTGGTGGGCTGCAGGGAGCAGGTGCATGACAGCCGACGGCAGCGAGGGGCTGGGTTCCCCGTGTCCCTGACCTTCCCCTCAGCCCAGCCGCCCAGCGCCGGCCGTACACCCCTGCTGGGTTTCTTCCACAACAGTGCCAGGCCCTGTGTCCTGGGCTTAGCATACCAAGAATGATGAGATGGATCGATTGACTTTCTGCGTCGCAGTGTGAAGCAGGGCAGATGTGCACACGAGCAGAGCATGTGGCCTTTTGTGGCAGAGGTGTCCCGGGTCCCCTGGGATGAGGGGGCTGTTTGCATCGCACACCGGTTCCTTTCTGTTGACTGTAAACACATGCGGTCCACCCTCTTCCATCGTAATGCCCTAACTTGGGAGAAAACAGCACTGTTGTTCCCGGTACTGTAGTTAGTGTGTGCAGCGGGTCAGTGAGTGGTGTTTCCTTGGCCACATGGGAAGCAGTGCTTTGCTGTGAAGTCAGATGTTAACTCTTTGGTGGGGAATCCTGGGAAAAGGAGGCTTGTCCTGGTGTGTTTGCTTGGTCACTCATGTTTTTCTAGATGTCCAGTTCCCGAGGAGTCCAGGGTGGCCTTATCGTTATGGGAACATGGATGGAAAGCAGCTGTCTGCTGTGACATGTGGGACATTCTTGCTGCAGCTGTGTGTGTTTTCCTGTGTCCTTGGTTGACTGGGCACAGAACTGCTTTCTGGGAATTTGAGGCAGGGCTGGGAGACGACCCACCCTGGAACCCTGTGTTTTGGGGGCCCACGAGATGCTCCTGTTTTTCAGTATTTATTTGTTCCTGTGAGAGTGGCTGCCCCACGCTGGGTGCATGTGTTTGGGAGTAAGTTCCGTTAAGGCCTGTATAACCTCTGCTTCAGAGAGACCTGAACAGAAGGACATGAGACCTTGCACAGACACCCCAATACAGGGAGAGTTGACAGAGAGCAGGTTCCCTCACATGGCGTGTTCTGTGTGGTGGGGACAGCACCTTCGTCACAACAGACAGCCCTGGAATCCTCACTGGGACCCCCCCACCTCCTGGCCTCAGAGGCAGAGAGTCGAGTGTCATCTTTAAGGAAGAGAGGAGCAGAAAGAGGACTGGCATCTGTGCATTAATTTCCCAGTGGGTTTTTTTTCTGGAATGTTCTGACAGTTGCGGAGTGTCTGTTGGCAGCTTTGGTTCCATTCAGTGAATCTCTGGTGCACCAAGGAGACCCAGGTGCTCAGGAGGGAGATGTGCGTGTCCTCCAAGAGCAGGTTGCATGTGCCCCCCAGTGCCTGCTGAAGTGCAGGTGTCGTGGGAGGGGGTTCTTGCCGGGTCTCTGCTGTCTGCATCCCCATCCTAGGGGCTCCCCTCCAGAGTGACCGGGGAGGACCTGCCTCCTATCAGCTGACCTCCATCTCCTCTGGTTCACATGGGCCCTGGGAGCTGTGGGCTCCTGTTAGAAACACCCGTGGCCAGACCATGGGCTCAAGTCCCTCTGTGCTCTCAGTGTGCTAGGGAGTCACTGCCTGTTGTAGGTCTTCAGCTTCCTCAGCCACTCGCGGAGGGCGGGTGACACCGTCCGGGGCTCAGCAGAGCCCTGGCGGTACCTTCCTAGCACCTTTCCAGGCGGATTCGAGTCCATGCTTGGCCTCTTAGCAACTGCACTGCATTAGGAGAAGGGCTTTCAGGAGGAGCTGGGACCTGTGTACCCCTTTTCATAACTTGGCAGCCTCTGCCCCCCTCCTGCTGCCTGTAGGTCACATGCCTAGACCAGGTGCCAAGCGGGTCCTGAGCACCCATCTGGTGCTGCCTGTCGGGACCTACCCTGGAGCCTGTCTTCCTTCCCCTCTTGCGCCCCCCATTCCCTGCAGAGGGCACTGGGCACAGTCCTGCCCCAGGAGGGGCCCCAGTGCTCAGACTCAGGGATGCAGGTGGATTTTGTCCCAGGAGCTGGCCTGGCAGGACCAGCCACTCAGTACTCAGTCGATCCTCTGTGCCTTTGAAGTGACAACAATCTCAAGAAGTTATGAAAGTGACAAGATTAGGAAGCACCTCCTTGTTGGGTTCACGGTAGAGACTGCAGCGGCGATATCAGTTCTGTCCTCAGAGCTGACCTCTGGCACCTCTAGCAGTGGTCAGTGTAGATGTGTGCTTATCCCTGTGGGGCCATCCTGGCCACCCCTCCTCACCGGGGTGGGAGGGCCTCCCTGCAGAAACACCTGCCTGGAAGAGTGATGAGTGTCTTACTTGAGAGAAGAAAAATGCCACTTAGAAAGTGAGAAGATTAGTACTCCGAAAAGTCAGAAAGGTTAGTTTCACCAAACGTGCGTAGTAAGTCAGGGCAGTAAGGAAGTGTGGATGGAAAGCAGTGTAGACGCTGGGTGTTCTGTGTACACTGGGCCTGGAGGAAGCAGGTGCTTCACTCGGTGCTTCTCTGAAGCTGCTCTGTAGTTGTGTGTCTGGCTGCAGCATGCTCACTGTCAGGGGGACCCCCGCCCAGGTCCACAGGGACACGTCGGAAGACTCGAGGGAGGGCATTCACTACTTGTGTGTGTGCTGCCAGCAAGACGATGTTTTTGTTCTGTTTTGTTTCAAGATCCCTGTATTTGAGAGTGGAGGCAGCAGGGCTGGGCAGGTCCCTCTGCCCTGTGGGTCTGAAGCGAACTCTGTCCCATGTCCAGACCAGCCTCACCCTGGTCCAGGCAGTCGTAGACATGTGTGTGCCCAGTTTTCAGATGTACTTAATTTTTTTGACTATATCATTTGTTTTCCACATGATGTAGGAAATCTAGATTTATCTGTTGACATATAAATTGAAGTGACTTGAAAAAAAATTTTTGAGTAGAAGATCTGGATCTGTGAAGAGAAATAAATTGTTTATATATGTTTTTTCTTTTTTAAACTCCTATAGATACCTGCACTTTAATCAGATAGAAACTCTGGACCCAGAATCATTTCAGCATTTACCAAAGCTTGAAAGGCTGTAAGTTGCATTTGCTTCCTTATTTTCCATTTCAGGCCCATGGAGCTCCCCCCCCGCCCACCCCCACTGGCTTTGGCAGAGTTAAGGTCAATGTCTGCTAAATGCCTGGAAATTGGTCCAGAATCTGCATTCTTAGATAGCTCATGAGCAGGGCTTAATGATTCTCTCTTTATTTGGGAATGGTGATAAAATAGAGGGAAATCAAGTTTTTTGCTAGACTATAAACACTTTTCTCAAATTCACTTGTATTAATGTAATCTCAGAGCTTTTTTTTTTTTAAGAGGGTGATGCATTTGACTGGTTATATTCTTTGCTACATGTTTAAGAAGTATTTAAAAAACTTATATTAATGTCTCTTTTATAGGTTTTTGCACAACAACCGGATTACACATTTAGTTCCAGGGACATTTAATCACTTGGAATCTATGAAAAGGCTGTGAGTATAAAACCTTTGTTGTGTAGACGTCCAGCAGGTCCCCAGCTGTTACCCTTTTACAAGGCCTTGTTTACTTCTGTGGGTTCTGCTCCCTGGTCCTATTACGGGGTGTTGTGAAGGTTGATAACGTGAAGAACGTGGGCAGGAGCTGGATGGCCAGGAGCTGGAAGGCCAGGAGCTGGATGGCCAGGAGCTGGAAGGCCAGGAGCTGGATGGCCAGGAGCTGGAAGGCCAGGAGCTGGAAGGCCAGGAGCTGGATGGCCAGGAGCTGGACGGCCAGGAGCTGGATGGCCGGCCAGGGAGTGGAAGCTCAGGCAGGGTGGAGCTAAGCCTCTGAGAGGACAGTATGTCTGATGTTCTCAAAACTCATCTTTAAACCCTTCATACCAATGCTGGTTACAGGGTGTGTTTTGCTGTTGAAGGTGACATCAACCTAGAGAGGGCCCCTTCCGCCTTACGCCCTCTGGTGCCCCAATTGCAGCACCTCACGTCGTGATGTCCACCCTTTCTAAGGCCCCAAAGACCAGTGTTTTCTGAGTCCCCCCAAGGGAGCAGAGGTGTCAGTGCTGGTGGACAGCATATGGTGTTCTGTGCTTCCATCTGGACATGAAGGCCGTTATTGTCACTTAGCTGTTGCCCGTGGTTGGCTGAACTAAGACCTGAGGAAGAGACAGAAACGTCCAGAATCAGGCCTGGCAGAGGGGCCTTTGGGTCTCTGGTCCAGTGGGGTGGACATGGGCCTCACAGCTACATGGGGTTTCTGCCATCAGGATGCTTATGTCCTCAGCCTGACTGAAGACCTGTGCAAGGTGGGGTGGGACAGACCACCTGGGCAGATGAGAGACAGCAGAGAGAAGTTGCCACACAGATGGTCCAGAGCAGGCGTCCTCAAAGTATGGCCCTCATGCTGCCTGCTGGGTGTTTTTGCCGCCACTGCCTGTCCTGCTTAGCAGCCGACTCGTCCCGGGGCCTGCAGTCTGGCCCTCCAACGGTCTGAGGGACAGACAGTGAACTGGCCCCCAGTTTAAAAAGTTTGAGGACCCCTGGTCCAGAAAGTCACTGTGTGTTCGGAGCAGGAGGAGGGGCGACAAGGTCTGTTCCTGCCCCCCACATCTGGCAAACTCTCCACTTTGCATGTGATGGCAGTAGCTCAAATAGTAGGTCCCTGGACCTGGTGCAGGGTCTGCTAGCATCCCAGCTGCAACGCTTGTCTAGAGCTATCTCTGACCTTATTGCTGCCAGCACCCACCCCAGACTGCCTGGCCACCCTTTTCCTGTGTCAGAGCCAGGCAGGATAGGGGCTCCTACTTGTCCCTCAGTTTCCCACCTTGCCTAGATGGGCTGACCAGACGTCCCAGGCCTCACCATGCCCATCCCAACTCCCTTGTATTATCCCATGGTCTTATGTGGCCTTCTGCAGGGGACTGTGGGGTGTGGTGCCCGAGAGGTGCTGGGTACCTTGGTCAAGTCACAGACCCCACCCACTTTGCACGCACCTTATCTAAGAACTGGATGCAGCAGAGGGGTCCTGTTTGCACCCAGATGCTGCCTGTGCACTCCAGGGAGAGGGTCAGTCCATCATGGGGCCAGTTTCCTGCCCTTTCCTCTCCAGGCTGACATGCTGGGAGGTTCTTCATCCCCCACCTGAGGCCGTTCCCGGGCCTATCTGGTATAAACTTAGCCAGAGTCTCCCCACTGCCCCAAAGCCCTGTGGTCTTCAGGCCCCAAGAAAGTGCAGATCCAGTGTGGTCACTCCGGGGCATGGGCATGAGTCTGCAGGGAACACCTGCCCTGCTTGAGCCCTCTTTCCCTGTGCGAGCACATCTCAATGTCTTCCTGGTCCAGCCTGTGCCCCTGGTGTCAGGCCCAGAACACTGTCCCTTGGGACCTTACTGGGCTCAGACGTCACCCAGCCTGAGGCCCGGCTCCCAGCCACCTTCCCTGGGAAGTTCCAGGCTGGGCGAGGTAACAGGGTGCTAAAATGCCCAGATTTGTCCAGAGCAGCAGCGGCAGAGTCCCAGCTGTGGTCATTCCTGAGCCATTGCTCTCTACAAATAGCTCCCACCTGTCTCTTTCTGGAATGTTCCCAACTTATTCAGTGGGTTGGAACACAACATGTGTAACAGGGTCTGCCCCCTCATGGACCCTGCTGTGAGTGTGGGGCGTGCGTCCTCTCCATGGGGAGATGAGTCAGTCAGCCCCTCTCGCCTGAAGGCCACAGGGAGGCTGTTCTGAGTAACCACAATTAAGTGGCAGGTACCTGTCAACTGAGTAAGGGTCATTAGGGTTTGACTTGGAGCCACTGTTAGTCTGGCCACTATATAAGCTCAGTCCACCTGCAGGGACTTCCTAGGGCCCCTCAGCTATTCTCAGGTCAGTTCCAGTCCAGTCCTCAGCCAGTGGCACTACTGGCCCTTTCCAGTGGTGCTGGCTTCTCCACCTCTCCTCCTGCAGCCCAGCATTGCACCCGAGATTCAGCCTGTTCCAGCCTGATGCCACGTACTGGCAGGCCCTATGCAATGCATTGACCAGGCCCTAGAGGCCCTGTCTGGATGGACGGATAGACGGATGGCCAGCCCTCATCCCTTGGCTCTCATTTCTTACCAGTCGCCTGTTCTTCCCCGCAGGCGGCTGGATTCAAACGCGCTTCACTGCGACTGTGAAATCCTGTGGTTGGCGGACTTGCTGAAGACCTACGCGCAGTCAGGGAATGCACAGGCCGCTGCCACCTGCGAGTACCCCAGGCGCATCCAGGGCCGCTCTGTGGCAACTGTTACTCCAGAAGAGCTGGACTGTGGTGCGCGAGCCCGGTCCTAACAGGGGTGGGGGATGCTCCAGCCCAGGCGTGGGTTTAGATACATGTGGTTTGCCCTGAATGCGTGGGACTTGTGTGGGTCCCCACTTAACTTCCTTGGTGCCTCTAGACTGAGGTTCTGTTTCCTTACTGGGCACAGAAAGGCCCCGGATTACATCTGAGCCCCAGGATGCAGACGTCACCTCAGGGAACACGGTGTACTTCACCTGCAGAGCCGAAGGCAACCCCAAACCCGAGATCATCTGGCTGCGAAACAAGTAGGTTGCACTGAGTGGAGACGTCTGCGGGAGCTGGGTTGGGACGCCATGTGCTGGGCTGTGCCCTGACACCCCCACGTGGGGACATGTGGGAAGTGGGTGAGACCGCCTCTTCTGCACTCACAAGGCATCTGGAACAAGGGGACTCCTGGCTCCCCCTGGCTGTTTCCCTTGATGGTGAAGCTGTCCTCTGGGCTATGACTATGGTGTGTGTAGATCTGGGAGTTGGTGACCTTGCCCTGCTGGGTTTGGCTGCCTCTCCACCTGCCCACTTCTGTGTGGCTGAAGATGACTGGCTCTTGCCTGAAATGTCTATCCAGCTTCTGGTCTTTGTTGTGACCAGGTTTATAGAGGGGCCCTGCCCCTCTACTGGGGACAGTGTCCTCAGGGAGGCCAGAGGGAGGTCTCAGGAGGGCTCCCGGGGTTAGGGCTGAGGGTCATCTTTTTTGAGCTTATCCTTTGAAGGGACCCTTGAGGTGAAACCACATCCTGGTGGCTGCGCCAGTGTTTCTGCGCGGGGTTCCGTTGTGCATGCAGAGGGTGGAGACAGCACTGTGGGTCAGTGCCCTGGCTCTTCCGCATTGTGTTCTGTCCAGTTGTGGCCTTTAAGATCCCACAGGTCTGGCTGTTGATGAGGGCCGGCTGGGCAGCAGGTGTGGCTGTCTCCTTGGGTGGAGCGGCCTCAGGATGCGGTGTCAGCTACAGAATCACACGTTCACTTAGGTAAAACGGAGGGAGGCATAAGTCAGAGCCGTAAGGTCACCGTCAGCGTGGGCCCAGTGCCCTGGGGAAATGGAGGACGCTTTCCTTTCCAGAAGGTCCCTGGCCTCAGAGGTCTCGAGTTGAGAGGTCTGGAGGTCCTGATTTAAAATCCAGACTAGAACATCAGAAGGATTCTGGAACATCGTGAAGTGCGGGTTTAAAAGGGAAGTATGGGTTTGGCTCTAATCTGTCACACTACATTGTATAAATAAAAATTTGTGAAAAGTTAAAATCTCACTGCCAAATCTGAGAATCGGTGCTCTTATACCCCTTGGGTCTGGGCCGGTATGGCACCTGCAGGGGCTGGGCCTCAGGTGGGCAGGCACGTTCTGGAGGCCCAGCCGACCATCGTTTTCATGTGCTGGCTCTGTGCATGGATTGGTGCCGGGCAGAAGACATGCTGGGTGGCACAGTGGGAGCA